GAGTGTTTGGTTTGATGTGTTCTATTCTAAGAAACCTCCTCCCTTGGCTTAAATATTCGTTTAAAGTGCCTCGTAAAGACAAAACATAGAAGAGAATTGTTCATGGAAACTCTCGCATACTTGTGTTAAAGCAAGAAGTCCCCCTTGGTGCAGAGATCCTGTACATCGTGGTAATGCAATGTCATCTCTCCATCTTTTCCCGTAGCGAGTCAGATGGCAACCCTAGCACAGAAGATGAATCCAGTAAGGGGCGGGAGGATTTATCTCCCCATCCGCTCTCCAGCTCATCCGATGGCGTTACCAGCCTCAGCCTTCCCGGCCACATGGAGCCTGTCTACATGCAGCAGCTTGGAAACACTAAAATAGCCTTGAGCTCGTCCGGTGTCTTGTTGAACGGGAACCTCATGCCTGCCAGTACCTCTCCTGTCTTCCTCAATGGTAGCTCGTTTCTTCAGGGACCCAACAGTGTCATACTCAATGGACTCAGCGTGGGCACTTCGCAGACTGTTACCTTAAATTCGCCCAAAACTGCGGCCAGCGTCGTGAGCAACGGGGTGTCCATCACTGACATACTGTCCTCATCGTCCTCAGAAGATGTCAAAGACTTCAAACTCCTTCAGGCCTCAGTCCCCAATGCCACAGCAGCCTTCAGCCCTAGCAACATCCCAGTCACTTTCCCGGGATTGATACCGAGCTCAGAGGTGAAAAGGGAAGGCGTGGAAACTGCTGCTTCCCAGGATGGAGGCTCCGTGGTTACTTTTACTGCTCCTGTCCAAATAAACCAGTATGGCATTGTCCAGATCCCCAATTCAGGAACAAATGGCCAGCTGCTGAACGGAAGCATTGGTTTTTCTTCTCTGCAGCTGCCTCCAGTTTCTGTGGCAGCTTCACAAGGTAAAAGCTTTGCCTCTTGCAGTAAGAGGTATGAGGAAAAGTTGGAATCAGGCACATTTAGCATTTTAGAAGCTGTGGTCCTTTTCTTCCAAGATGTCAACATAATATCTCAGCCATGGCCACGCACAGAACATCAAATAATACTGTTTGCCTTCCTTTATAGTGAATTATGCTCGTGGGCAGACTGTTAGATGAATCTGAGCTCCTCTGTTAAGAGCATGGAAGGAGGTCTGGTAATTTACACCCCTTTCATCTCATGCTGTTCACAGAAGTCTGTGATAGGAGTGTTCACAAATATCTGTAAATTTTACATGTTTCAGTAATTCAAAATATTCCCCATTTGCCACTGAATTCTTTTAATGAGAAGGTTCATAAAAATGAAAATTATGGCAGCTGGAAATTGTTACCCTTGTTGTTCTTGTGGTGGTTGTTTTGTTTTTTTGTTTTCTTAACAAAAGCATTTCACAAAAATACATTTTGAATTATTGTAGACACAACAAGACCAAGCAGTTGCTTGTACATTTTCTGTTCCACAATTAAGAAAGATTAAACTTGAGGGGAACAATAGAAGTAAACACTAGCTCGTAGATATAAAATGTGAGGCTCTTTGGATAAAGCTGCCCTCAGTCCAAGGGAAATATGTCATCACAGGTTCATGTGCCAAGTGTGCAGGCTCCTCCCCAAGTTTGCTTTAGAGTTGGTCTTAGCATACCAAAGTCTGAATCTTGCAGCTGGCCAGGAAGAATCCCAGGGAGCACAAACCTTGTTCTGGATCCCTTTTTTGAAGCAGATCAGTTAAATAGCACAGCTGAACATCTTTGGTACTCCTTGGCCACTTTATCTTTGTTTACTAAAATGATTAAACTGGAATAATTCTCTCTGGTTTCAGGAGCTGTGAATACTATTATAAAAGTCAAATTGTGCTCATGTGCTTCTTTGAATTTAATGTGTATAGGGTGTGAATTCTTCTTGCTGAAGCACAGGGAGGAGCAATTCCAAATGTGAAGCTGTGCAACCACATTTCAAATGGGTGCACAGTTATGAAGTCCTAAAATACGGCACTCAGAGGCACTGGAAGTTATTGGCACATAGACTAAATGTCTTCTCTCTTTAATCTTGCTTAAACTGAATGCCACCTGTAATTACTAAAGCCACTTAATCCACATGCTCCAAGGCATAAACTAACAGCCAGCAAAGGTGAGAAAGAAAGTTCTGTCCTTTTAAGTATTGTAGGACTATTGTATTTGAAAGTCCTAAGATTCATAATAAGCTCTTCTCTGACCGTTTTCCCATTGTTAAAAGTACTGACTGCCCACTGGAGAGTGATCCACCATATCTTTGGTGCAGGAAAAGTTCTGCTTGTCTTGGATGGATAACTGGCTGCCTATTCCAATTGAAGCATGCTGCAGGCTATTTCAAGTAAGCCAGTAAATAATACTGACAGGTAACTTTAAGTTACCTGTCTTTGTTTTTCTAGATAACCCATATGCATAACATCTTTCAAAGAATCATAATTGATTAACCAAAATTAATAGGGAATTAAAATATTCCCCATGTGAGAAATTCATCTTTGGGCTGTTCTAAAATATTAATCTGTGTCCAACTGTAATCTCTTACAATTAAACTGCTTTTGAGAAAGAGAGGTGTTCCAAGTGGGACCCAGTCCCAAGGGCCAGTATTTCTTATTTTAAGAATTACCATAATGACAACTGACATGGCAAGTCCAGTGAAAACAACTTCAGGTCATCTCTGGCCACCTCTCCCTGCTTTGGCTCACTGCAACATCACACGAGCAGTGCTGTGGCTCTCAGCAAGGGCAGGCAGTGCTGGGTGGCTTTTCACAGCATGGTGGATGTGGCAGGATTAGGATTTTAGAAAAACACAAAAAAGCAAGGTGAAAGGGAGTAGAGCTGAGTGCTTGAGGATTATCATCGATTTAGACCAATAGAAATTACCGGTTTTTCGTGTTTTTTGTGGGGGTTGGCTCGGGCAGGTTCTCGCCAGCAGCAGTGGATTTCATGTGACGTGTCTCCAGTTCCCACACACAAGCTGTAGTCTGTCACTGAACTATCTTTAATGGCTTTTCATGCTTCTATTCTTAGATGGAAATTGAGTGGTGGCAACTAGTGAAGGCCAAAGCACATTCATTTTAGTCACATGGCTGGGGACTGTTTGCTCCTTAATGAGAGTCTGAAAGATACCTAATCTAATATATCAGAAACTTCTTTCTTTTTTTTTTTTTTTTTAACTTTGTAGAAGCAACTTCTATTAACAGCATTGATTTCTTTACACCAAGTTTTCTCTCACCTGCTACAAAAATTGCTTTGCAGTGTTGCATGAAATATTAGTGTGTGTATCCTGGGAAGGTAAAAAAGACCAGGACTGCATAACTCTGTTTTCTTTTCTTTTGCTTTCCTTTCTCTAGGTAATGTTTCAGCAAACCCCAGCACATCTGATGGAGGAACTTTCACGACTGAATCTTCAACAGTGCAGCAAGGAAAGGTTTTCTTCAGCCCCCTCACTCCCAGTGCAGTGGTTTATACAGTTCCCAACTCAGGCCAGGCTGTAGGATCTGTCAAGCAAGAAGGACTGGAAAGAAGCCTGGTGTTTTCTCAGCTGATGCCAGTCAGTCAGAACACACAACTGAACGTCAACATGTCTTCTGAAAATATATCCAGTGCAGGGCTGCAGTCCCTGGCCTCCTCCTTAGTGAATGTAACGCCCTCACACAATTTTTCCCTCACTCCACCGACTCTTTTAAATGCTGCAGAACTGAGCTCTGGTATCTCGGAGAGCCAGGCCATGTCTTCACCCGTGACCAGTACCTCTACAGTGATATCTATCAGCAACACTAACTATGCAACCCTCCAGAACTGTCCCCTCATCACCAGTCAGGATCTCTTGTCCATTTCCACAGCACAGCCCGTGCTTGGAGAAATCGTTTCAGCCAGTGCAGACCGTGTCAGCCACCCCCCTGCACAAGTGCACCAGGATTTTGGCAGAGAGCACAGGTTGGTTCTGCAAGCTGTACCTGATGTCAAAGAGAATTTCTTGCCTAATTCTGAGAGCAAGTCAACTGGCAATTTAATGATGCTGGATTCCAAATCTAAGTATGTTATGAGCAACATGGTTGACACGGTATGTGAAGAACTGGAAACGGACAAAAAAGAACTTGCCAAACTGCAGACAGTTCAGATGGATGAAGTTATGCAAGACTTGTAGCTTCTTTCTTTTCTTGCTTTCTGTTTTAATAGATAAGTCTCCTGTTGAGGCCCTAACAAACACCTAGTGGGGTGTTTGTGGGGTTTTTTTTGTTTGATGGGGTTTTTTTCATTTTAAGAAACCAGAAGAACATTTAAGTGGTCTGAATCAATGTACAGAGGAATCTCCAGCGATGGAATTAGGTTGCCACACTTGGTTTGCATGCAGTATTCTCTTTTAAACAGGTTAAAGGAGAAAGGAAATGGCCAGGGCAAGTACTGAGGAATGGGTACAGGTTTGGCTACCAGATACTACCCTGAAAATTTAACTAGACTCTCCATAGTACAACATACTCTTAACAGTAAGTATACACTCCTAGCTTCAGATGGAAAACAAAAATCTCACTCCAAAACGGTAGAAACAATGCAGACTTTTTTTTTTTTCTGTTTACTTCCAGTCCATGGGCATTGAGAGATTTCTAAGGAACTCTAGACGATACCTCTCTGGCTACTTTTATGTTGTTCAAGGTTAAGAAACAAAACAAAATCATAATATTGTTACTGGTATGTTTGCTTTTTTTCCAGCAGACTTGCATTTAAACCAAAAGTCTCACATCAATCATGTACAGGTTTCTAAATGCTACAGCTAGCATTTTGTCAGTGCACCAGAAAAAGCATCATTTGAAACTCTAATTATGCAATTCAGAAGCTTTCTATCCAGTATGAATGTAAATATTGTTTCAGTTCTTATAAAGGAGACTTTTTTAATTAGTACAATGGATTTTATTTATGGTTTATGTTCCCTTTCACTTTAGACACAATGCATTGAAAAGGAAAACGTTTTCTGGCTGTTTAATTTATTTTATTGTTTGAGCAGGAAGTAAGCGTAGTTATTTCTGACAAGGTTTTACTTTTTTGTAGTTTTTTTTCAAGCAACAGACTGTAAAAGTAAAATGTTAATCACACTGAAACTAGAAAATTAATTCCCAGTCTCACAAACCCAGGAGGTCACTGTTTCTACCCCCTCTGTCTTTGTGTTCAGGGCTTTTTTTTTGTTTGTTTGTTTTGTTAGTACTTTGCGATTTAGTTGAACCCTTTTGTGTATTTTTTACAGAATTCCACGTGCCTTTCTTCCTAGTGGCCTTATCTTTGTTACTAAAGCACAGTGGCAGGAGGAATAAAAACACTGATTTGCAGATATCCGTCCTCAGGGCCAAATCCTGATGCCTTACTTCTGCAAGTAGACCCCCTGACTTTGGGTGCTCCTGCTTGCACGAGTAAGAAGAGGTTTGAGAGTCTTCTGGACACGGTGGGTGACATTTCCTGGCAGTGCAGAGAGCCAAGGATGGGTCCTTCTGCCCCACATCAGTAGGACAGGAGGGGACCACAGGGTTGAGCTCTTGGCTCTGTGAGATGAGCAGGAAAGGTTGGATGGGCAAGGAAGGGAACCCTGTGTTCATAAATTGGCCAAAGAGCCCATGTGGGACAGCTCCAGCTGCTGGTGCAGCAGGGCCCCCATCCAGGAGTGCAGTTGAGTTTGTATTTATGGATATCCTCCAGGAGAAGCAGCCTGGGAGCTGTGGTGGGAAATGCAGGAGCCGTGGTCCCTGCCTGGCTGGGGATGGATGCCTACACCTTCCTCCCTGGAGCAGGTGGAGCAGATCTTAACCTTTCCTCCTATTTTTGTAGCATGGAAAAGCACATCCTTATAGCTTTAAAATAATAAGAAGAATTCAGATGTACGAAAGTGACGTGCTGTTAATGCTGGTGGGTTTGGTTTTGTTGTATTTTATCCTGATGTGAATATATACAGTAAACTAAAGCATGTGTTCATCCTCCAAAGCCTTTGGAAAGCAATGGGAAATGTTTTCATGAGCCTGAAGCAGGCTCAGGACAGAAGAAGATCACTTGTAAAGGACAAAAAAAAAGGAAAGGAAAGATAATTAAGGTGGCATATCCCAGTGTGTTTGTCTTGGTTTTAACTGGTTCCATGGAAAGCTTTTGGGAATGAAGGTTTTTCTGTGCACCGTGAGCACAGCATCAGCATTCTCATTGTGGTTTTGCACTATATTGCCTATTTTGCAAGGTTTTCTGTGGAACCTTGAGGGAGAGCTCTGTCAGTGTGCACTGGAGCCTGTGCTGTGAGCCAGGGCTGCAGGGAGAAGGGCAGGAAAGGGAAGGAGGAGAGTGCAAGGGCAGCGCTTGCAGCTGCACGGAGCCGCTGACGCTCCGCAGGCAGGAGCAGCCCATCAGCAGTTGGCTGTCCCCACGTGCTCCCAGGCAAGCAGGGGGTTTGAGGCAAGTGCTCTAAAGCAGAGATTATCACAAGCAGGACATGGAGCTGTATGTTCCCCTGGCACAGCTTTCCCTGACGTTCCACGTGAGCAGGGAATCGGATAGTGCAGAGTTCTCCCAACCACTCTGCTTGTTTATCTAAGTTTGCTGGGCCCCAGCATGAGCTGTCTGTTTCCCACCTCTTCTTCACCCATGTAACTAAGGTGGTGATGACAGTAGCTGTATATGCTTTGCATGAAATCATTCAGCCATTTGGAAAATTAGAAATGCCCCCTATCGCTGTCATTTTAATGGAGAACGTGTACTTGGCTCTGAAGGAGTTGATGGTGGATTAACATTTGGTCTGTGAAGCTCAGACTATATTTGGAGGCAAGCTAGGGAATATTTCAGAGCAGTTGTTGGTGTGATCATCTCTCATAATTGAAGAGACTGTGGTGTTACAACAGTACCTGTTACTTTATTTTTAGTTTTTCCTTCTTTGCATTTGTTGTGTTACTGAGTGAATTCCATGGCTTTGCAGCACAGTTGATGTGAAAAACTGTGTATGTTGTTACAGTGGCACGTTTCTTGGGAGTGTCTGGTACTTCTAATAGGAGACTTCCCACGCTCCAGTTGGAGTGGAGGATGTACATAAAAGCAGTGTTTTGGGACAAAGTGAGATTAATCTATTCTAGTCTTCCAGATATCAAGTAACTTCCTATTATCTTTTACTCTTTCTTTCTTTCTCCCATTGAAAATAAGTGTCATTCCCTCCAGATAACATAGTTATAACCTCATGTTTTCTGCAGGTACATATGCACAATATAAAAACTCATTGCACGGTACAGTGTGTTTTAAATAGAAATTTAAATAAGTAGTTTTATTCCTTACAAGGGTAAGTTTTTATTTTGTGGCCCTCAGGCAGGCAGGCTCACTGCTCTCAATAGACAGTACTCAAAGCCCCAAAAAGTGTCCAGGGCCAGGTCTTTGGCTGCTGTAAATAAGGCATTGCTCCACTGACTCCCAAAGCAAGGATTTTTACGTGGTGTTTAGGGGATTTGGATGCTGATCTCCCACACATGGGAGGGCAGCGAGTGTCCAGGCCCCACAGACAGCCCTCATTATCACATTCTGTTACTTAAATGGATGGTATGTCTACCTGGCATGCACATTCCTTCTCTTCCCTCCCTCTCTGTTATGGATGAGAGTAAAGGATCATTTCAACTTCACATATGTTTGTAACTTCTAAGTCCACTGGAAATCTTACAGAAAACATTGCCAAATTCTACTGCTTTACTAGTCCCAGACTCAGCTTTGAAAAATATGCCTAAGGAAATTCTTAACAAAGCATGATGTTAAAAACCCCTCTCTTCTTTACTACTTTTGATTAAAGCTGCCTCTGTTTCACCCAGAGTTTTGCAGAAAACCAGAAACAAGATGAATTTTATGCTCTGTGTGGACTATTTGCAGCATTATCCCTGTGGTCTTACCTTCAAGGACATTTCAGCAATGTAAATCACAGATATGCATTGGCCAGGTCCTCAGCTGGGCTAAACTAGCACATTTCCATTGACTTTAATGTCCTTTTTTGCCAGCTGGGAATATGGTCCATTCATTTCACTGGTGTTAGGTCAGGGATGGATTTGGCCCAGTACACAGTGGCAGCACAAACCAGAGCACAAGGCTGGCACTTGGGTAGAACCAAACAGTCACAGTTTATCAAAGCAAATACCTCTTCCCATTTACTGCTTTCCCCTCCCTGTGGATTCAGGAAGACTCAATCAGAAAGTGGCTTCACCCAGAGGTGAGGCTGGGACTGTCAATGCTGCTCTCAGTCTGAGAGTGATGACAGTAATGGACAGGTTCTGACTTCAAATCGTGTAAAACCACCTCAGTGATGATTTTCAGTTAAATAAATCAGGGTGGAATTTGGCCCTGTGTGCACAGGAGCTTTTCATGTACATAAATTCCCAGTGTCTGTGCCCTTTCCTCAGCAAGGGCAGATGAACAAGGGGGTGCATCCCTCCAGTATCATGTTAGATATCTGTGCAGGGCTCTGGGGACATGAACTGCCCAGTGCTTGTAGTCAAGAAGAATGTCAAATCATCCAAAAGAATAGTAATTTTATAATTCTGAAAACAAAAATAATGATATTTTTAAAAGCAAGGATGCCTGAAGTCTTCCTGTATCTCCTAGCAGTTATTATCTTGAAGGATATTTTATACCTTAGTTGTATGTTTCATATACTTTAAAACTTGCTTCTTAAATTTCTGAACTCAAGGAGGGGGTGAATCTTCTGGCTTTCAGGATTCACATTCAGAGGATGTTTGTTCTTTTGCTGCATGTACTGTTTGTCCAGAACTAACCAGTTATTTCTCCAATATGGGTTTTATTGTGCCTTACAACAAATATTAAATTGAAGCGGAATGTACGTGTTAGAGGAGGGAATAATCAAGAACTTTACTGCACTGTTAGGTGATGCTGCCCCAGAGTGTATCATCAAACATATCTGTGCTTAATTACCCAACCAAAGAGATCTAAAGTATGTATGTTTGTTGTACTGTAATAGGGGTTTGTGCCTGGACAATTAAGTGTTTTATTTGTATTCTGAGATGATGTGAACTTATTTTTCTAAACACTATACTGAATAAACTTTATATTTATACACATCTTGTGTAAATATTTCTGTTTTGATGTCATGTGAGGGCTTTGAATTTTGAGTTGGAAAAGCAATCTGAAGTAGAAACTTGGCTTCTAATGACTCACCATGAAAAGTGATGGCAACTGGGAGTGTCTGTGCTTGCCAGGGATTTGATCTGCACCCTATTTAAGCAAGAATGAGACTTTCTGTTGACTTGAGGGGGTTTTGTCAGAATTCTAAAATACTGAATTAAAACCCATAAATCTTATACCTCATATTGAACCTATTTGTGTCTCAAACCGAATTTGTCCCATAATTAGTTAGATATTATTAAAATCTACTTCCACCTGCTAGTTAGGACTAGTCAGTGTTTACCTGTGGTTCCCATGACATTGGCATGCTTTCTATGTCAGGGGCTTTTTTTTGGGTAGGTGTACTCCTATTTGCTAAATTCCTGTTTGTTGAAATTTTTCTTTAAAACGTTTCACACAGTGTCAGACTTGGTTTTGGCAGCCTTTTGAGAACAGCTTGAAATGCTATGTTCCCCTGATATTAAAGGATTTAAACACATTACCATATTACTTCAGATCTGCCTTCCAAGCACCAGCATTGCCTGGTTACCATTTTGATGCCAAAATGAACGACAATAAATCCAAACAGACTAATCTGTGCAGGTGAAATCGTTTCCCTCACTGAAGCTTTAGATACATTAGAGATAATTAACAGCCAGCAGGAAAACACCCTTCCATCCCTTTAAACTGTGTTTAGGCCAGAAGAAGCAAGGTGAGATTGGAGAGATTTTTTGTTTTTTTAATAGATACAGTTAAGATGAAATTCGTGATTTTGTTACTTGCTAAGACATTACCTTGGTGTTTTAGGACGTCACCTTGGTGTTTTAGGACACGACCTTGTTGTTTTTCACCATTCCTCCCCCTTTCCCAGGGATCGCAGCTCCGCTGGCCAAGTGCAGGGATCCCCTCTCAGCCTGGGGAGCATCTCTCTCTTTTCTCCAGGCTGATCCGGCTCTGCAGCTGCCCAAGTAAATAATCCAGTTACCCTGGAGCTGCCCTAAGCCAGAGCCAATTGCCTGGTTGCCCAATTCCTGTTTCCTTCCCAGAAGCAGGCGCTTGGCTCAGTCGTGTTTGCGGCGCTCCCTTTGCCCGAGCAGAACCGGGATGGGATTTTCCTGCCTGCAGAGAACAAATCCCAAACTGATCCCCGAGCAGCAGCTCTGTCCCAGCTTTGCTGAGAATTTAAAGCCATCCTTCGACCTGGCTGGAGCAGTTTCTGCCTCACCATGTGGCACTCCAGGAGCAGCGGTGCCAGCCCAATGGCCAGGGCAGGGATTTGTGGCTGTGCAGCCCCTGCAGGGGCTCTGGATGAAGCACAGGGCTTTAGGAACAAGGAGGAGAAAGGGGAAGGTCTCTCGGCAGCGTATGCAAATGGCCAAATTCTCCCTGAGCAGCCACCCATGCGGTATGCAGGATGAATCATGTCCTAACGGAGCGCATTCCTGCTGCTTTGGAGCGCTCCGCAGATGTGCTCCAGGTCACCCTGGGCGAGAAAACCACACACAGCCACGGCTCCTTCCACCCTGGCAGCCTGTGCACGGATGGAAAAAGGGGGGACAGCACCTTGGGAAGGGTGGGCAGCCGGATCCCTGAGCCTCTGCCTTTCCCACAGGGCCTGGGGATGCTGCAGGGAGGAGGGGGAGCTGCCAAGGCAGTAGCTGGGATGGATTTGGTGGTGGGAAGGCTCAGGAGATGGGTGGTTTCTCTTGATCCAGTAGAGAGACAGTGCTGGAAGACATCACTTATTATCCTCTATATTTGTCTTGATTTTTCCCTGGTGCCAGATCAGAAGGGGATTTTGCTGCTCCAAGAGGCAGAGGTTGGGTCAGTAAAACAAGATTTTAATATGAGTACTCACAGCTTGGGAAGCAGAGGTTTCCTTCCAGGCTGCATCCCCCGTTGTGGTGATCTTTGGCTGCAGAAACCTCTGGGC